ATATCATGTGCCAAGATAAATTATGTATGATTAAAATTTAAATGTAAAACAATAAGGTGATAAGGGCTCAATACTAAAATATGGGTTCATATTTTTTTTTTCCCTTTTTTGTCTTTTTTACTGACCGGTAACGGGATCGCAACTCTCAGTGTCGCGCCCGTACCGGGGACCGGCAACAGGATTGCAACCCTCGGTGTTGCGCCCGCACCGTGCTCAGCCAGTGAGCGGGAACCGGTCTCCACATGGGATCCGAACCCTCAGCGGGAGCGCCGCTGCGCTCCCAAGCGGTGCACTCTCCAGTGTGCCACCAGGCTGGCCCCATATTTAATAATATAGTTATGAAAGTTTTTTTTTTTAATGTATGACATCAAAGCCTAAAATCACAAAGGAAAAGAGCACAAAATTCATCCACATAAATATTAAAATACTAGTGAGTTGAAAAGAAGTTTAAAAGATAGGAGGAAAACTGGGGAAAATATTTGAAACATATGACAAAGAGTGAGTGTCATTAATTTATAAAGGGTGCTTACAAATTAGTATAAAACAGCTAATATCATTGAGATCAATGGTGAAAAGACAATAGGATGTGAACAAGTAATTCATAGGGAAAAAAAGGTCAATGCCAGTTATCAAAGAAATGCAAATGGAATTAAGATTGTATTTTTTACCCATCAAAATGGCAGATGAAACAATAGCCAGTACTTATTAAGCCCTTTCTGTGTGTTAGCCACTGTTCTAAGTGTTTTACGTTTAAGATTTATCAACACTCATACATATGTAAAAATTCACTGAGTTGTACATTTAACATTTACGCACTTTATGTATGTCGTACCTCTATTAAAAGTTGTTTTGTTTATCAGCAGTTTGCCAGTCTGTGTAAAGTAAATCACTGCTGTGCTTTGGTTGGCCCACCCCTCTCCTTACTGTGACTGACGGGTAGATGTGTGGTGATGGCAGCCATCAGGAGAACAGCTCTGTTCCTACTAAGATGAATGAAATGTTCTCTTCAAACCTGTGGAGTACCATCCTTCTGTGGTTCTGTGACAGTTATAAGTCAGAAAATTAGGTTCAGTGGTCTTTGAAGCAAAAATTTCATTCTGAATGAATCTCCCATCTGTTCCTGTAACATTTGGTACCTATTTTTAAAAACTGTCTTGCAAAGTAGTTTGTGCTATTGTGCCTTTATCCACTACTGTGGTGAGAAAACTGAGAACAGAGTTTGAGTCTTAACTTTCATTTGTATTTCCTTCAGTGCATAGTGCCTTTCACTCAGTTGGAATGTTCATTTAGTACAATAAATGTTGATTAAATACAATCAGTGTTCATTAAATTGACTATTTCTTTTTTCTTCTCTTTGTGTCAGTAAAGTAATTCAGCTTAAACATCAGTTCACAATCCAGCTCAAAATCCTGAGGAAAAAGCTAGGATATATATCATTGGTAGGCTTTTCCCAAAAGTGTAATGTTGGAATCTTTGTGGTTGATTCCTCACCATCCATTCACAGAAAACTCTTGCCAGTTATTGGTTTCAGAATGGGCAAGTGATGTGAGCCTTCCCAGTGAGGTGTGAGGAAAGGCTGTTAGTAGACATTTGGGGAGGAAAGTATTTCTCATTCCTAAAAAGGAGACACATGAAAAGACGATTCCTCTCTTCTTTTGGAAGAAAGGACTGGATATCTTATGACAGGATATGATTCCTGGAACTCTTGTCTAGTGGGCATGAGTGGAGTCAGCTCTTGAGGGTAAAGTCAGCACTCCAAGGATAGCAGACACCATATAAAGAACATCATAGAGTCACTGCAGCAAATATCTGTAGACTGCACTATTGCTGGACTTCTTGTTTTGTGGCAGAATAAGTTTCCTTACTGTTAAAAAAAAAAAATCACCTTATCAGGTACTATGCTTTTACATCTACTTCACAGATGAGAAAACTGGCATAGAGATACTGAGCAAATCCCTAAGGCCTTACAATGTAAGGTAAGTGGCGGAGCCACATTTTAAGTGGTTGGCCACACCTAGCCATCATAGGCTCCCTAGCGACTATGCCATGAGCACAGGCTCCGAAGCTGTCTGGATCAAATCCTAGCCCAGCCACTTATCTGTAAAGTGGGGATCACAGTATCTACTTAATTGGATTTTTATAAAAAAATTGACTTAATACACAACATGTGATTAGAATAGTGCCCAGTAAATATGAGGTTTAATGGTGGCAAAGATTTGGGGAAACT